TTCCAAGGTAACTATGGCTATTGTTTAAGTTAAGGTGTTTCCAAGGTGGCCATTGTTTAAGTTAGAGTGTTTTCAAGATAACTATTGATACTGTTTAAGTTAAAGTGTTTCCATGTTTTCTTCACACAACAATTATCTAGTGTGGGTTTAGGACTATCTTTTATATAGCCATGTTTTTCTTACTACTAATTTCTTAAAAGATATTGATTAGGCTCTATTCTCAAAATTGAACACAATTGTCTTTATCTGGTCATTACTCTTGTGCACCTAAGCTTCTCATTTCTACTATGTTTGCTGGCCATAAACCCCCAGAATATATCTTTTTATCTACTCCCCACACCCTAAGCTCTAGGATTACAGATATGTTCTACAATGCCCAAATTTGACATTTTTGCTGTAGTCTGAACACAGGTACTTTCTGAGCCATCTCCTCAAGCACCTGATTAACTTTAAGAAGTTATAAAATATAAGCACTACTAGGTGGATTCCAGTTATTTGTTTTAATAAAAGTCATTAATAACTTTGTTATTAATTCTTTTTAAAGATATCGGTATCACAGATTTAATTTTTTTCTGGGGTGGGAGGTGGTGACAGCGTTTTCATGCAGGGTTTTTCTGTGTAGTTCTAGCTGTTCTACTCACTCTGTAGACCAGGCTGGATTTGAACTCAGAGATCTGCTTGCCACTGCCTTTCAAGTGCTGAGAGTAAATGCTTGATCCACCATGCCTGGCTCCAGATATTCATTAGTACATTTCAAAATGAGAATTCTTGGCTTGTATGATAAGGGCAAAATTTAAATTTGAATCTAAAGTGTCAGAATAAAATGATGGTGTGAGGTCACAATTGCTGAAAACAAAGCCTAAAAATTGTCAGTTATTTTGGAGCAAGGAATATACACATCTGTAATCCCAGAAGGATGGAGAGGGAGGCAGGAGAATAGCAGTAAGTCTAGGGACTACATAGTGAGACCCTGATACAAAACAAGGTTAAAAATATATACTTAAAATTGACTTTTAAGACCCATGCTTTAAGAAAAAGGAAAGAGGAAGGAAATCTTTTTCTTTTATTTCAATGTGTAAAGTTAAATTTATGTGTGTGTATATATATACATATATATATATATACTGTTAAGTATATATATTTAATATAAAGTAACTTATAAGAATTTAATGTAATTGTGTTTATGTAACATTTGTGTTATATATTATACGATATAGTTTCCAACCTAAAAAAAAATGAAAAGAACATTAAATGAAATAGATTAACAAGTTATTTGTGTAAATTGCAGAGCTAGTTTTACTTTTAACTTTGGCCCTATCAAAACAAAATTGTGAATGATGCTTTTGTTATATATTACTTCATTACTTGCTAAATCTCTATTTAGTTTCCTTCTCCCACTTGATCAATAAAATCATATTTAAGAATATCATGATTAAACTTTTGCATTCATAAATTATTATTCAGGTTGAAATTTGATGTTGATTTTATGAGAAAGTATAGTATGGAATACAATTCTTACATTATAAACCTTTTACTGCCTATATATTAAAAATGAACCTATAGCCTCAAGTGACCATTGATCTTCACCAGGGATAAAAGAAGGGGGAACCCCATGTGCTGCATTCCACATTTAGAATCAAGTCTATTTTTCATCAGATTCAATTATGTTTTTATTATGCTCTAGAGAATAAACATAATAGTATAGAGTACATATATTTTCAAAAATAAAATACTGAATAATAACTATGGTGCACAAGAGTGTAAATCATTTATGCACTCCTGTATTGCCTTCTAACAGAATAGCTTTTAGAAAATTGTATGTCGTGACGAATCTTTTATGCCGCACTTGCACTTCAGTCGTGAATTACCTACCCTTGGCCTTTCGTATTTTAATAGTTGTGTTTATCTCCTGATGGTGCACATTGAATGAGTAATGAGCATCTGTATGATGTGGGTTTCCCAAATTACTTTTAGAAGAAAAGAGACGTTAGTAACTCCCTCTTAAATACATTATTTTTTTCTTATACTTAAATTTTCCGAGCTGTATTTCTTACAGTGACCCTGACAACTTAAGTGTAAGTTCCTTTTCCCTCTTCCTAATGTCATCAAGTTTTATGAGCCACAGGGTCTTTCACCTTCCCACAGCAGTGATTCACCAGAATGGACCAGTGTGCCCAGGCCACTGACCTGTCACCTGTCAAGAGAGCCAAGTGTCCTCTCTGGTCATTCTTACATGAAGTTCTTCATTTCCATTCGAGCTAAGCTGTGTGTCTTGTACTTTTGAGGAGAGAATTCAGAGGCAATGAGTTACTTACTTTAAACACACATTACAACTGATAACAAGAGTGTAAAGGACCCGTTGTGGATGAGTACTGTGAATTGTACCCACAGTGAAATAAGAACTTTGCATAAAGCCTTTGAAACGGTTTTTGAACTGACTTCAACTTACTAGTTTATTAGATATGAAGGTACAAAAGCTCTTTTGGGCTTATAGTATGGCATATAATGATTTCTGTCCCACTTAAACACATACTGTTATATTTTAAAACCTTACTTTACCCTTCTGTTTTCAAATTTATACTTGTTTGTAGTCCATGAATCCAATTTTGCTGACACTGATATAAATGTCTACTCTTTTCATCTCTGGAAATCACCACTGTTACCTGGGAATTTCCCATGTCTTAGTCCAAGAGGTGGGAGATGTGATAATGCATCGCATAATTTAATATAGGATGGTAGAGATCCCATAAACCCACTTATATTCCACATTGCTAATATTTCACTTGTAAATTTTTCATTTGAGTTTCTGACATGTTAGTTTACAGGTCTACAGAGAGGAAGTAACCAAAGGAAATCTTTAAATCATCTACAAACCTTGGGCTTCTCATGAAAAAGCCATTAATCTGATGATGCACACACACATGCAATTTGCATGTTTTGTCACCATGACAAATTACATGATATGAAATCATTTCAAGGAATATTGTTATTATAATTCTTGCAGTAGTTTGTTGTTAATATCAAGAAGATAAAATTAATATTTCCTTTTTTTTAACTACCTATGTTTGCAGTCTGTTTTGGACTTCGATAGAATCCCTGTCAATCTCCCAGCACACACAGCAAGACCAGGCTACAGGAAGAGAAAGGTCCACAACTTTGATTCTCACTAAGACTTGTCAGACCTCACAAAGCCACATTGTCCTCTCTTCTGAGCCAGGTGCATTCCAACACTCCTCTCCTGACAAAGATGCTAGGCCTAAACAACAAGCTCACCTCAACTTTCTCTGACCAAATTTAGAGTTCCGACTTTTTAATTTTCGCCAATTATCCTAGTGTTGCCTAGCGTATGTGTGTCAGGGACAGGAGGTCATGGAAGGGGAGCCTGGCTAGGAAAGAGAGGGTAGAAGTGTTGCAACTTTTAATTTAAAAAGTATTAAAAATATATAATAAAAGTAATAAATAAAATTTTCTTTGAGCTTGCTACATGCCTTCTACAGGATTTATGAAAAGTTTCAAAAATATCCTAACATTCTGTGTTAACTGGCATCACCTGCAAAAATGTTTCTCTGATAAGTTAACAGGTACATTAAATTATGAGTATAACAATGAGTTGTTAAAGTCAATTTAGTACTATGGCTACTTAACAGAGCTGCAGTTATGGGTTCTCCTTTAGAGCCTATGACCCACAGGATCTTGATCCCAAGGATACTGAAGGTATGGGTTTCATCTTAAGGAGAGTGGGCATTAACCCTAACAGCAAGTGGTTGGTTACTCCCATAACATCCATGCCACCGTTGTACCACACTTCTTACCAACTTATCTCTTGCCAGGATTGTAATTAGGTAATATTGATGATTACTTTTGTCCTTGCAACTTGCATAGCACCTTCCAGCACTGTGGAAGCTATCCAGGTGGGTTTATTTCTCAGGAAACAATGTTTTCTGGGCACAGGAGGCCTGTTGCACACATAAACTCACAGTGGTTATGACAACCTACGTAAGCCAGATACAGTCTCAGCATGGAACATTTGGAGGAGGTAGGAGCAAAGTTTCCTCTCTTTCTAGAGAGCTATTGGCAATTGATGGCTACTAAAAAAGTGAGTGCCAGATTTCTTTAAGGGTCCTGGTAGGTTGGCCATACTCTAGTAAAGTATATGAGCAACACAAAACTTGTTTTATATGTTTAAAACAACAACAACAAAACCACACACACACAGGGGCCTTGCAGGTTGTCAACACTCCGGTGAAGTATGTCAACAACACAAAATGTGTTTTGTGTGTGTGTGTGTGTGTCTGTGTCTGTGTGTGTGTTTTAAAGAAGGCACAAAGTTGGATGAGTACAGACGGTGGGAGTATATATGATTAAAACATTGTATAAAAATCTCAAATAACTAATAATACAGAAAAATATTCTAAAAATACAACTATATATGCAATTTAGCCTATGTCTAAAAGGTTCTTTTTGTAAGTTTTACTTTTTCTTTTTTAACGATTTTCTAAGTTGATTGAAAAGATTGGATTTTAAATGATATAGGAGCCATTACAAGAGCTCAGGCTTAGGTTTTAAGAATTTATGTTGTGTCATTCTCAGGCAGTGGTGGTACATGCCTTTAATCCCAGCACTTGGGAGGCAGAGGCAGGTGGATTTCTGAGTTCGAGGCCAGCCTGATCTACAGAGTGAGTTCCAGGACAGCCAAGGCTACACAGAGAAACCCTGTCTCGAAAAACCAAAAAAAAAAAAAAAAAAAAATTTATGTTGTAATTTCTTTTTCATAGTTTATTATCTTTTTATATTATATCTTCTACCAGGACAAGCCATTTCAGTACTTCTTATAGGCATGCTCAGTGGCTCCTTCCTTCGTACATCCTTTGCACAGTATACACACTACTTACCAAGTTTTACTGGAGTATAGCTATTTACTTACAAGTTTGTCTGTCTAGCTAAACAGAATTTCTTTAGACATGAAATGGTGTCATACTGTATGTATCTCTAGAATATATTACAGTCCCTACCATATGTATTCAGCATTCAGTTTTAGTCTACCAGATATAATACCTCCATTAATTAAGCTGTTTTTTTTTTTAACAGTTAAGGAATCTAGGAGTGAATGTTGAATGATAAAATGCCTCAAAAGTTCTTTTAAAAATCATACTCAAGGAGTTAGGAGACATTGCTCAGCAGTTAAGAGCATGTAGTGTTCTTGCAGAGGACCTGGGTTTTGTTCCTAGCATACATCAAGTAACCCATACTGTAACTCTAGTTCTATCTTAGTTTGGGTTTTACTACTGAGAACAGATACCATGACCAAGGCAAGTCTTATAAGGACAGCATTTAATTGGGCTGGCTTACAGGTTCAGAGGTTCAGTCTATTATCATCAAGGCAAGAGCATGATAGTGTCCAGGCAGGCATGGTGCAGGAGGACCTGGGAGTTCTACATCTTCATCTGAAGGCTGCTAGTGGAAGACTGACTTCCAGACAGCTAAGACAAGGGTCTTAAAGTGCATGTCTACTGTGACACACCTACTCCAACAAGGCCACACCTACTAATGGCACCACACCCTAGTCCAAGCATACATAAACTATCACAAGTTCCAAGAGATTTGATGTCCTCTTCTACCTTCCACAGATTCCCACATGTGTATTGTGCACAAAGTCCTACAGTCCTACATATATCACATAAATGAAAAAGAAACATTTTTAAAAGCATTTTGGTGTTGCATCATTAAAATGGTTCATAAATTTATTTATGATCAGCTCTCAGAAATGTGCCCACTTATATACATTAATAACAAGTATATTAAATCATTGACATTAAAGCACAAGATTCAGCTTTATTAAGAAAATGTTGAAAAGGTGTCTTGATAAAATGGCTCAACAGGCAACAGCTCTTCCTTTGTAAGTCTTATGACCTAAGTTCTATGTACAGAACCTACAGTTGAAAAAGATTCCTAAAAATTGTGTTTGACTTTCACATGTATTCTGAGACACATATAAACTGGCATGCACACACACACACACATAACATAATGATAAATAAATTGATAAAAATGAAATATCGAAACATGAAGACGCATGGTGTACTGTTAAATACTTCCTCAGTATCCACTGTGAAATATAAGATGTTATCAATGCAGCCCATTAATATACTCCTCTCCAGATTACCTCCTCCCTTCCTTTCACGGCCAGAGAGAGTGTTGGGGGACCATTTCCGTATATCTCCCCACATATCCAGTTCCTGTGTTCGCAGCCCACAGCACAATATGGCATTGTATGAAACACTTTCCAATTATTACACAAACATTGCCATACTGGGTCTTTTCATATGTTTCTCCTCATCAGGATCATGTTTGTTACATTTTTCCTCTTGGTTAGTGGAATTCTACTTTAAATTTATGACCATTCCTCACTTCATTATCCTATAGTTGGCATTTTTATTTTTCTCGTGATATTAATATTATAAAACATTGGTTTATTTATGGAGGCGAGTCTAATAATTTTTAGACTCTTCAAATTTTGTACTAGGAATCAATGTTTGAGTCCTAGGAATCAATGTGCTTATTGTATGACTATTGAATTATCTTGGTAATGTTCTTATAACAGACTGTGCTGCTAAACGAAATTTGAAGTAATCTGTACTTAGAAAATATTTAATTCAAAATAACAACATATGTTATTTAAGAAAACTTAGGCTAATATCTATTGGGACATATATATTACTATGCATAATTGAAAGTATTTGAAATACAGTCTTTTAAAATACTATCTTTAATGTGTTTAAAATTAATTTTTTTTGTCTAAATTTGACCTAAATTAAAGGTGATGATTTGTTAGGTTACATAATAGACTGGCAGCTTACATCTTGGAAATAGCCTTTTATATAATAATTTGACATGAAATCAAATAATTGAGTTTTTAAAGCAAGATGCATGGTCTGTGAATGACAGATTGACAAGTTATTTTATAGGTGACTTAAAGCAAAATCAAGTGAAAGGAAAACAGCTTTAGCTCTGTGTACCAAGGGAGAGTCTTTGAAATGTAACTGTTTAATACCTTTATCAGTGTATGGACAAATTATTAAAATATCCAGCACCTGGAGGCCTTAGACTGCTTAGAAACCAGTTCCTGGCTTCTGCCCAGATTCAGATGTTGGAGATAAGCTGAGAGGCAGAGTGCTGACAGAAGCAGGGCAGCTGCAGGCTCTGCAGTACACTGCTGGGCTCTGTCCAGCCCGGGTTACTGAGTGCGGCATGTGTGGATGCTAGAGTACAAACTTTTGGATGAGGGCATCTGGAGTTGGGGTGTATGCCTCAGACACTGTGGTTCTCAGTCCACAGAAATGCTGTCCAGAAGAAAATGCATGCCAGTCTCTTGTCAGACCTAGAACAGGTATTTATGAGTAAGACCATTCCACCAAGAAAGTTTGAGGCTGTGGCTAGAGGAGGTTTTTCTTTTAAGTTCTTTGTTTTCATGAAAGGGCTCTTTGATTTTCAGAATTTTATTTTTTCAGGGTGACATCATTTACTCATGTCCAGAAGTCTTCTGAAAAGCTTTGCTCTGCCTTTTACCATGTATTATGAGGTGGGCAACCCACACCTCATAAATTCAGAGACTTTTAACATTGATTTTAATAAACAGAGCTTGGCTTCTAAACCCTCCATGGTTCTATCATGGGGAAACTGTAACTAATAAGAATTGTGTTTTCAAAACAGTAACTTTGTCTTTTCCTAACTACTTTTCCTTGATTGTGCTAAATGAAAGTTGCACAACTGTAGATTTGGATCAGTTCAATGTTAAAGACATCTGTTTCTGTAATCATTCATATTTTAGTTATGCCACCATCATGAGGTAGTCATGTGTCATATCCATGTGGCAACAGATGGCACTCTGCCTAAACTTACCATTTTGCCCCATAGAAAATTTATAAGCATAACTGCAAAGAATTATATGTAGAAATTATAATTCTTTTTAATTTTTTTGGAAATAACGCAGCTGATCTTTGTGCTATATAAAGAAAAGTAAAGAAAAGTAAAATTTAAACTTCATGTAACCACCACTCATGTATCATTACTATTAACATTTATTTTATTTTCTTCCAGCCTTTTGATGTGTATTTTTAAATGCATTTTATCTTTAGAAGGATAGATGTCACAGAAGTATTTAGCTGTACTAACGTTGTGTGTATGACCTTATAAATTACATGCTCTCTGTGACTGCTTTTTGACTTTTTATTTTTCCATTGATTGAAGTCTTCCATGTGTTACATTTGCCTTTTGGCATCGAGTATATGGTTCTGATTTCCGCAGTCATCAAGTAATCCTCTGTTTTGTATCTACTATCCAGAATTCCATTATAGACTACGTCTGTGCCTCAGATATATTTTAATGCAAGGGAACTTCTATTGCACCTCAAAGTAGTTAGATTTTTAATATTTCTCCAATTGCAGTATTTCTATAAAAATTTTGAATTCTGGTTTGAACTATGAGTTACAATGAATAACACATTTCTTGCTACTTTAATATCACATGAGTATTATACGATTTAGATTATATACAATCACATGACATGTAAATATTTCAGAACCTATAATATTGTGAGATGGCATTGCTTACATTCTACCAAAATAATTATTTTTCTTTTTTTGTAGTATAGAACATTGCATTGAAGAAATACAGTCTGAAGTGAACAAGCTTTGTCCAGATGTGCAGCTGCAATCAACAAGTGACTGTTTCAAATGGCTAACTAGCTATAATTATAATTTATCTAAATCACCATCCATTCCCCATGGAGATTTGATAAACTTCCTTAAAACAATGGTAAAAATTATTCGTTTTCTGATAGAGTGGGGAGCAGGGGCACTACTGGATGAGTTACTATACGGGAATATTTATTGTGTTGATAACGTCAGCATGACCTATGTAGAGGCCTTGGCTTGGGGACTGTTTTTATGTTGTTTGTGTTGATCCTCTTTCTTCTCCCATCAAATCCTTTGACATATTTTAAAAATTATTTTTAGCACCAAAGTATGGAAATGAAAATTAAATATCCTATCTCTGGGTGACTTACACTGTGATGTGCAGCACACTGATGTGATCTGTAGTTCTCTAAAGAAGTCCACACTCGATGGATGCCATGTTCTGCCCAACATTAAATTTCTCTGTGTTCAAAATCAAAATCAGCAAGAGTCCCTTAAATGTGTGTGTTAGCTGGCTTTATCTTCTATTCTCTGCAGTTGAGTTGGTTTTTTGGTTTGGTTTGGTTTGGTTTTTGCTTTGGTTTGGTTTGGTTTGGTTTGGTGGTTTGGTTTTTGGTTTGGTCTGGTTTGATTTGGTTTTAGTTTGGTTTCAGTTGAAACAGAAATGTACACAAGACCTTCTACCAAATGTAGTTCATTCTTGTTGGACACCTACCTGTGAGAAATTTTTTGGTAACCCCCCAAAAAATAGTTATCATTATTATTATACCCTCATCTGTGGGGTGACTAGGTTACAAAAACAGATTCTCATAGAAACAGCACAATTTTTAAGAAGCAGAATTTCTGTGGCTATGGTTTTCATTTAATTTAGTAGGGAGAAAAGGACCGCTTTTGTCTTAACATCAAAAACATTGACCAAGGCAGATGTGGAAAATATCTTGAGGTTGTAGATGGTTTAGGATGACAGAATCAGATGAAAATAATTTTTGTCAGTTGTCATTGTTACAGTTGTCTCTTTCATGCTTATGAAGTAATATAAAGAAGGCAAAGAAAGACATATACCCTAAAGCCTTAACCTTTTAAAGCAATCTTTCTTACCCATTATCTCTTGAAGGTGGAGCCTTGAAGAGTAAATATGGATATAGTTTTTCCTTTAATTTTTATTAGGGGCCATGAGTATTAGATTTCACTAATGTTGATGCAATAATGTGTTCTCATTTAATTAAAAGCAAAAGCTTTCAATTATCTTTTAATCTGTCACACAGAAGTCATTTTCTGCAAGGCAAAGGCCACTTTAGTTTTGTTAAAACTCATTTGTCTTCTGCAAGACCTATGGGTGGTTGTTGTTGTTGTTATTATTATTATTTTGCCTTTTTATATAATTGTGTGAGGAAATAATTTTTGAGGAAATAACCATGTTATCAAAACAGATTCAAATTAAAATTACCTTATCAAGTTTTTACATGCCTATAGCATTGGTCTTGATGGCTTCTTATATATCTGTTTTTTACAAAAAATATTAATTAGGTAAGAAACTAGTTCTTACTTTGATACTTGTACTGAGGTTATTTTTAAAATTTAAGAGTTTATCCAAAACATGTGTTTTAAAACTCAGTAGTCTACTATTCTTTGATTGATCAAATATTTACACCTGTTAGCTGGGTTAGAGACCCATAAAGCTTGTGTAACACAACTGATACATCTAATTGCCTTAGTGCTGCTGGGTCCTGGCCTCTCTGAGAACATTTTCTTTTTAGAAATTTGTAAAGAACTAGATCATACAAGAGATGAGAGACAGAGAGAATGAAACGAGGCGTATGCTAGATCCCGTCCCTCACCCAAAAACTCATATGATGTTTGAAAGCTAATTCTCTTGTGTACCATGTCAGATATCCTTATCCAGAAATCAGATTATTTGGGTAGTCAGATATCAGTGTCACAGAGTTTTCATTATGAATAAACCAGATAATATATGAAAAAAGTTGTTTATATAATAAAATATATGTTTGCTATAATATTTGCATGTTAAATGTGCATTGCGGTACTTAGAGTGAATGTGAGCCAATTCCAGGCATTTGTCTAGCTGTTCACTTCTGAGTTACGCATAATACCTGTGGTATCTTCACCAATAAAAAATTTCAAAGCCAAACTAATTTTTATGCCACTTGAGCCTTGCTTCCATTTCTTTTCTAATTAGCTTGTTTCTACTTAGAGAATATGATCTAATTTTGGTATTGGCTGGAATTCTATATAATTAGGAAAGTCATCATGTACAGAGAATGTGTGTGCAATTCAGAGTCCAAGAAGAAAGTAATTTTTTGTTCCTTTATTATTCCTAATTGTACCACCATTGTTTTCTACCAACATGAAAGACTAAAGGAATCACCTTTTGGAGAGCTTTTCTGAAATTTCTTTATCCAATTTTGAGTTATTTCTTCAGAGTGAACAGAAATATTCTCAGGTTAAATTTTAAAGTAAAATCGTTCTTAACAAGGTTCTCAGCAATGAATTTAAATGAAAGTTGAAATCTTTGAGTGTATTAAATTTTATTTCTCAGGATGACAGCTATTAGGAATCCCTAGGCATCTACTATATTTAATGATTTCATTTCAAGAATTATCTTAAAAATTGTATTGGGTGGGAGTTATAGTAAGTATATTCACTCAGGCATAAAAATCTTCCTGGAATTAATTAGGACATGAATGATCTTGAATTTATTTTGTCTTAGGAACTTGTTTTAATCAGTATTATTCTATAGTTCAGTATGTAGAAATGTTTAGGCTTCCGCCTTGCTATAGCTCAGGCTAGAGGGAATAGCAGGGGCTAAAAGGTACATGTAACTGAACAGACAGCTAATCAGCTGGCCCTTACACCTGACTTCAGTCTACAGAAGTTAATACAATGTTTACTGTCAGCACTGATTCAATCATAAGTGCAAGAGAAAAAGATATTGAGGAGTATAGGATATTCATTCTAAATTTTAATCAATTATAAGACTGTAGAAATTATTTTTCTTATTCTTAGATTTAATCACATTTCAATATTGTAATTTACTTTTATCAGCAATATTTATTGAATAATGAAGAAAACCATGAAGAAATGATTCTGGATTTACTCTGGGACCTCTCCTGTCAAAGAAGCATCTCATTCCTGTACTCTCTGGGTGGGACAACCTTCTGTCACCTCTCCAGGACTTGTATACATTCTGTTGAGGATTTCTCCTCTGTGGATATAAAGTCTATTTGGGATGATGTAAGACTCCATCTTCGACGGTTCTTAGTTACCAGGTTAGAGAGATATAATGAGATCAACAATTCACAGCAAAAAGTTGAACTGAAAAATCAATGTCTGAAGCACTTGCTCCTGCTCTACTCAGAGTCAGAAGTGCTTGTCAAGTACCAGCGCATCCAGAAGAGACTGCTGGATACGTTTCTGAAAGACTCCTTTCCTTCCTGCAGCGGAGAATCAGATTTAGAAAGAACTGCATGTGGATACCAAAGTACAGTGCTCACATTATACTCAATGATAAAAGAGGATTTTAAGGTACTATATGAAATTTTAGCTCCGTCATCAGTGATGCAATTCATTAATGAAACTTACCTGGATACAATTACAGAAGAAATGACAAAAATTCTTGAAAATTTTTCTGAGCTGCAGTTCAAAGAAAATGCTGTTCCCGTAGTTAAAACAAGCAAGAGCGGCAGCAAGCAGCGAGGAGCAGTGCGTGCTTTGGGTTAGTGGCATTTACATTTCTGTTTGACTTCGCTTTAGCCTTTCACATCTTTAACTTTCAGGTTTCTCTGTTGTCGAAAAATAGCTAAATCCCACTGCAAACTAAACAGTAAATGAGCTAAACAGCTTGCCACTCATTATTTCTTTGTAAGTGTAGTCGTGAAAACCTTTCCTCTCTTGTGAACGTGTTAGGGGTACTGAAAATGTAAGCCAAATGAAGTTTTATTTTTCTGGAATGCATAAAGCAAAAGGAAAGTATTAGGTAAAAGAAACTCATGTATGGGTGCATACAAATATAAATATATACAAATATATGTGCAACCATAGAGCATGGATTTTACTGTATTATGTCGTCCAAAGCCAAAATGTTATTACTTACAAAGAGTTGTTCAAAGTCGGTTTACATTGACACTGACTAAAACTAGAGGTCCTAAAGTTGCATTTAGCTAGCCAGTACTAATAATTAGAAATTATAAATATTAATCACACAAGCCTTTTGCATTGCTTATGAGGCATAGTCCTTTTTGAATCATTTTTAAAATCTCTATTTTATATGACAACATATAAAATAAAATAAACTTAGAATTCTTAAATTTTATTTAAAATATTAAAAAATAAAAATACATTATAATAAACTTTCTTGTTATGGTTTAACTTTCTACCACTAAAGAAAAATCACAATAAAAACTAAGAGATATTTATTATTCTTGAACTATATTATTTAAGTATTTGAGAATTATCCCTTGATAAATTATTATGTGTTGTTGAATTTGTTATCATTAACATTTTTTATGTCACAGTGTTTTACTTATTTTTCTTAATAAAATATCAGAAGACCAAAATTAATGTGATAGATGAATTTTTAAATAAGTTACTATTCTCTGAAAATGTTAGTCTTTTCTTTGGGCATTATACTTATTTCTTTACACTCATAGAGTGTAACAGGTGAGTAGTCAGTTCCTGGAAGACAGTGAGGGTATGGTCATCTGACTCACGTGCACTGTGAGCCTTTGTCAAGCAAACACACTTGCATCTTCATTGTTAACATAGTTTTAAAATTCATTTCATGCCTGTGCTTGCTTTCTAAAAATATGTTTTTTCAAAATCCTGCCTACTTATAAAGTGTTTTGTGTACAAAAGTTTTGTCTTGGCTAAATATAATTTATAATGGAAAATGAGAGCATCTAACTGAAAATATATACAAATTGTTAATGAGTCTTAGAGTGATTGAGGGGCAAAGAATGTAGCCTATCCTAATGTTAGAGATGGAAATGTTTCCCAGGGCCTAGTTGCACTGATGGTTCTTCATCGGTGCTATTTGAACTGTTGTATGAATCACTTTTAAGTGAGTGTTTTCCATGTAGTAGGCAGTATGCTGAGGAAAACCTAGTCTCTCTTATTCCAATTTTATCTACAAAATTAAAAAAATAGACTAACTCATCCTGGATTCTTTGTGCCCAGTCAGGATTCATATTTACACCGAGGACTCATATACAGGGGTGTTGTTTTGTTTTTTGTATAACATCTTTTTTCAACCACCATGTTATCAGACTGTGTCTCAAAGTATAGAATTAAATGTTCTATCAATAATAGACATTTGAAACTCTCTTGGTCAAGTGGACCACCTGAAAATCATTTAGTTCTGCCTTATTGACTGCATGTCAAATGATCCATTTAGCAGAAGCCATATTTAAGATTCTGAGGCAGACACTTGAATTGGTAAGAAAAGCAAATGAATCATTGCCGCCACGTGAGAAGCACTCTGTAGCTCAGCATAACAAACATGGGTTTGTTTTGTCTCAGAACAAAATCGTTTTGCTCCAATGACCAAAATTTGTGTATTAACAAATTACAACTTTCAGGATAGCAATGATAATTTATATTCCTTTTGGAATAAACTCTAGATAGGCTGAGTGGGAAATTATTATCTTTAATATAATTGTATAGCAGTATGGTCTTTGAGTCATTGCTGTTTTGCTCAATAGTATAGAAAGATCATTTCTTAAGTAAAAATGTATTGGTTCAAATAGGGATTTGTATTGTCATACAAATACATATCATCCTTCTAACCACCCGACAAGGTACATGCCATTAGCGTCTCCATTAAACAGTGGGGAGGAAGTGAATCAAGAAGTTAAGCAATTTCCTCAGTGTCATAAAATGAATTCAGGATTCAAATTGGTATCTAACTCCAGATCCTTATTCTGACCAAACCCACTGAAGTACATGTCTCTGAAGTTTCTGTTTCCTCCTCATGGTCAGTATGGGCACTACTGTACTCAATGGATTGATCCTATTGAGTTGTTCATTGCCTCTGATTTTATGTTGAGATTGGACATTCTTCCCACAGTATCTGTGAATTTTTTTTTCTGTTTTTTGGGCATCAAAGAAAGTAGTTATTATTTGTCACAATGTATAGGGCTGTATAATACTTCATTCATTTTAGCTCATTTAATCTTTTAAATAGTTCTTCATATTTTATATGGAGAAACTGAGACCTGCTGAGGTAATAGGCCCACAGCTACATAGAAAGGAGCTTCCCGGGTTTTGAATAATTTCTTCCTCCTTTTCTTTCTCCCTCTCTTCCTCTTTCCCTCCCTCTATCCCTCCCTCCCTCTTTCCCTCCTTCTTTTCCTCCCTCCCTCCTTCCTTTTCTCCTTCCTTCCTTCCCTCCTTCCTTCCTTCCTTCTATCCTCCCTTCCTCCCAGCATTCTCTCTGTCAATGTTCTAGTGATAAGATACAAGATAGGCATTTAAATTTGTTGCTATCTAAGCTTATCTATCCCTAGAGGTAAATTGATCATCTTGGTAAAGTTTTCATTTGGTAAAACTTTTGTCTCTTCCATTGACACAGATGTGGACATTTCCTTGGGATATCTATGGGGATTTTTTGTTATATGAAGGAAATGATGCTAATATAAAGGTTTTAGAATCACTTTAAGTTAGTGATCTTTTCCAGAAAAAAATAATCTTTTACTTTTATTATTGTTATCATTATTATTAAATAGTAGCATTATATAGCCCATGCTGGAGATGAACTCTATATCCACAATTTACCTGTTTCCGCCTCTCTAGTAAAGATTTGAGCTGCCATTTCAGCTGTTCAATGGGCCTTGTTGTTTTGTGACTTGGTGGTTTTGTTTGGTTTGCTTGTTTGTTTGTTTGTTTGTTTGTTTTTGCAGTGTTGGAGAATTAACCCAGGGCCTTGTGCATGCTGGCCAGTTGCTCTGTCACCGAGTCATGGGCCTTGCCTTTAAATGTATTCACCAAGTTTCCAGAGGAATTTAAGAACCATGACCTTTAGATGTATCTTGTTATTTTGTGTGCTTATTGTTTTCCTTCAAATATTGTAAGGAAAATATTACTTAAATGTTTACACTATAATGTTTTCTGTTTTTATTTTTTTAATTTAGTTTAATTTTTTTTTACTTATTAACTTTACAACCCACTCACTGCCTCCCTTCCATTCACACACCTCAACAGTCCTTTCCTCATCCCTCTTCCCCTTCTCCGCTGAATGGGTAGGCCTCCCTGGGCATTCCCCCATACTGGTACATCAAGTCTCGATGAGAGCAGGCTCTTGCTCTCCCATTGAGACCTGACAAGGCAGCCCATCTTGAAGAACATAACCCACATACAGGCAACAGCTTTTGAGATAACCCTCCACTCCAGTTGTTCAGGACTCACATGAAGACCAAGCTACACATCTGCTACATATGTTCGGGAAGGTCTAGGTCCAGCCCATGTATGTTCTTTGGTTGGTAGTTCAGACTCTGAGAGCCCCAAGGGTCCAAGTTAGTTGACTCTGTTGGTCTTTTTGTGCAGTTTCTATCTCTTTGGGCCCACAATCCTTCCTCTTATTTTTCTGTAAGAGTCCCAAGCTCTGTTTGGCTGTGAGTGTCTGCATCTTTCTGAGTCAGCTGCTGGGTAGAGTCTCTCAGAGGACAGCATGCTCCTGTCTTCAAGTATAAAAGAGTATCATGAAGAACATAATGAAAAGTTTCCAGAAAGCTGTAGATTTTAAGTCATCATTTGATTATAACTAGATTTATTCTTTGGAAGGTCAGATCATATTTACGTGGTCAGATTTGATCCCCATTTCAGGAGAATCATTTTTCTATATCTGTTTGGAATTATTAAGGAAATTAATTTTAATTATAAATTATATTATTTCTTCTACATTTAAATATACTTTTCTAAATATCTGGGTAAGACAGATGTTTTGAGTAGTAAATTTTACTTAAGTTGATGCTCTGTATTTTCATATAGAAATAAACAATTAGGGGCTTTAAAGTGTAGGATAAATTTTATAGCTCCTTCCATGTCTTACTCGAGCTCTTCTTAAAGTCTTTGTTAGCTTGTAAAGGAAAGACTCAAAAGTCTTTGCATGCTCCTGAGTATTTGTAAAGTTTCAAAACTGCAGTGGGTAAGAGGTTGCTTTTTACATTTGGTAAGTTATTTAACCTTGGAATCTTTGAAAGAATTGCATTAGATAAATAACCAAGGATCCTTTGAAGTCTAACCTTTTTCTGATTCTACAAGTGTGACCCCAAGAATAACCAAATCTGTTCTCTCTATGGATAGAGAGACATTAACTGGCTCAGTATATGTCATTGCATATCATAGTAGAAGATGTAAAAGACCCCTTTAATATCTCTTTCTGGGAGAATTGCCTTTCCCTAAGAAAAGCCTAGGAATAACAAAATGCAGTCATTCTCTTACCCTTGTAGTTGTTATAGGAGGGAGGGTGGGCTTCAAGTAAAAGTAAGAAGTGGCATTTCTCTGTGGGGTTTACACCTTAAAGTATTTCTGATAATTTATGCTTCTCTTCTCTTTTACCTCATAACCACATTTGTTTCACATTTAGTCTTGAAGGTTTTTTGGTTTTTGTTTTTTTTTTTGGAGAGTTTTTAAACAGGTAATTTAAAATTAGGACCACATACAACAATTAGGAACACAATTATTATTCTGTATTGTTGACTAGAGAGTATTTGGTATGCCTAAATCCATATAAGGATCAGTGTGCTTAAGGCCATATGTCTTTTCCCTGGCATTATTTAAATCAGACATGGTAAGGATGACTAATGACCTGTATTTTGCCCATAGAAGAGTCAGTTTTTCTTCTGCAAGGCTACAAATAGAAGGCAAGGACAGTAACTTCATGTGAAAAGTAACTCTGAACACATATTAGTTTCGCTGTGAGTAAAAAAGGAACTCCTTAGGACTAGGTCTTGTGAAAACAAACAAAGCAGTGGCCTGACATGGCTGAAGTTGCTCTCTTGTAGTGTCTCAGATTGGAGTCGTCGTATGACTCTTTCAGTACAGCAGATGGATGAGCCGAAGCTTCCTAAGTAATCTTAGTCTGTCTTTGTGTAAAGAAAGTAAGAGTGATGGGTTGTTCTACTGTGTCCTTGTATGGCATGCCCAGTACCGTCTTCAGTTTTCTAGAATACTCACAGCTGGCCATGCCATCAACAGAAGAAAAGAATATTGTTTTCCCTTTTTACTGTAAAAGGGATTTACCCAGCAGCCTCCTCCATCTTGTATTGTTCATGTCTCCTCAGTGGACAATCTCTGAGGAGCCTCTCTACAGGCAAAGGGGGGAACTAGACTTAACTCTTATTTTTCTTTATCCTCTTTAGAGAAGATAGGATCAATCAAAATCTTTTGAGA